TTGATTAATAAAAGAATAAAATTCGAATTGAGAACTCTACCCTTGAAGTGGGTTAAAAATACAATTCCATTCAAAATACAAATAGAGAATTGGTACAATATATCTCTATTTGAATCTTGGAACTGATTTTAAAAGAGATTAGGACCGTCAAGACAAGAATAGGCTCACAATGTGGACTGGTGGTTTGTATTAGGATCACATCATAAGACCCTTTGATTCGACACGAATTGTCACCGTGAGTATTTGAAACTGTCTGTAAAGGCATTAATTAAAAAATAATGTCACAATCTCCTAGACTTGTTTTAGACAACAAATAGCCGCTGTCCACATTGAGTCTTCTTCTCAGACATACACTCCTGGCGGGGTGGTCGTGGTTATACATATCTTATTGGGGTTGCAGCTTTTGCGAGGCTTCTCCATCTCTCTCTATTTGTGGCGGTAGTGTACATTCAGTAAGGGAACACTTAGTAGATGACTTAAACAAGTCTGTCCACCTTGTGAGTGATCCGCCCACATTGATACTAGAAGTTAAATCGACATTACTTAAGAATAGAATACTATACTAAAAATCCTTACATTTGATTCCTTCATGGTTGAAGCAGAATGGTAGGGTTAACCTAAAACTCGTAATAAACTCCTGGTGATTTTTTTAAATTGAGAAAATTTGGAAGTTTTGTTTTATTAATTCCTGTATTTTGGACATAATTTGAAAATACATCTCAGGACCTAGAATTTTATGTATAACACTCGATAGTATTCATTGGTTCTATGGACTTGAGCGTTCATAACGCAGGGTATACTTTCGCCTACCCACATACATCTGCTTGCGTCGTTCTCCTCACTACTAAGAGTCGTGACTCCCCGTTGCATCAATCTCTCTTATACACTTATTCTCCATCTGCTGCGACCCTTGGCCTCGTTGAGTTTGATATCCAGACAAGATCGAATTTGGACTGACCATCTCGTAGGACTACGTCCTCTGGGACGTTTGCCCTTTATCTTGCCCGTCACCATCAGCTGCTCGAGATTGTGACCCTCCTTTCGAGCAATATGTCCAAAGAACTCCAATACTCTACGACAACCTTGAATTTTCACAGTCAAGAATACATTTACTATTTACATGCCATGTAAGCTTCACCGTCGCCAAGATAAGATAATAAAAAGATCTATATTTACTCACATAAACTTGTTCAGAAAGATCTTTATCGTTAATTCATTCGTTCTTAAGCTGCGAGTTTTTTTGTGGACCGTACAAAAACATAATTCCATTTGATGGCTCAAAAATTCTCGAACACCCCAAACACTGACACCCTTGCGTTGATAATAAATTGTAGCTTATTGAAATTTATGATGTTTCTGGATGTGCCACGTGGTTGCATTTGTAATTCGGAAAGTATTTATGTATCGCACCTTTAGAATTATAAAGACCCAACACAAAAATTGCGGTTTTTTTTTAAAACATCTAATAAAGCTTTCCAAACGAAAAGACATAGAGGAAGAGGGCGTAGTGAAAGAGACCGATGGATAACTTTGTCCTCTTATAAGCTACTTTTAGTCATTTGATTACTAAGAGTCGCTGTAAAGGTTCGTTACAGTTCCATTTTTGAATTAAAGTCGAAATCCAAAAATTTCGAAATGGGTCTCTATAATTCTAAGGGTGCTAATAATCTTCCTCGTGGCTATACTCTTGGCGGAGTGTATATGGGCGCCATGTGCTTAGTGGTGACTTTTATTACCTTAGAACAATACATACATATTACCGACATGACCTTACGGATCCATCGGATCCAATAACCTTTGCATTAGACGCTTTCAGTTCTAACACTAGGAGCAGGCTTAGGAACCCCGGTAACCGTACTCGTCGAACTCGACAAAGAGTTCGACGTGCAACCTAACCCGTGTATCAGCTCGCTGAGTTTCTCGCCGAATCTTCTCAGTGTGTCGCGATTCCGATCCGGTAGAAGATTCATTCGCAAAGCAATTGTTCTTGAGTTGTTAGTTCTCCTTCGGAGGCGCTCGGGCAGTTGTTAGCAAATCCCACCCCTCCTGGCTGAGCCTTTGCTCGCCCACCTGTCCTGGTGAAACTGGAAAGGCTTCAGGGCCACCAGTAATCCTTCAATCATAAAAAAAACATATTATATCGCCCAGTATTAAAAGTCTATTCATAAGAAGCCAACATTCTAAGACCTGAAGTTAAACGCTCAAGCATATTTCATTAAGGCTTCTCCACCTTTCAAACAGAAATCCATGATTGCTTCTTACCAGAAACAGATTCTATGTTAACAATCACAGATTACATCAACAACAGCAGCCCGATTCGAACCCGCGTTCGACAATACCCCGCCCAGGGTAAGCCGAACCCTTGCCCCGTGAACGGGTACAAAGTACCCGGCATACATTATTCAAACTCTGACTATGTTAATTCACATCACCTTGTGTTTATGCTAATCATAATTGGTTATTTCTCTGCACGGATTACGTGTATCTCTTATCTTAGATCTCGAGCTCGCATCTGTCAAACTTAATAACATCGTGAGAGGCCATTCGTAAAGAAATCCGATGTGATATTTCAGGGCGGAGCCTCAATAAAATCTACATTATTATCTCAATTAACATCTCAAGATTTATGCGTCCCCTTTAAAGTTTTTAATGCGATCATTAATCACGGGAGACGTGTAAAAACGTCATTTACGGTGAATTAATATTTTTATTGTCACATTGGCATTTCGGTTTGCCTTTTTAAATATTGTAAGGGTTAATCATGAATACATGCATTTAATTTTGTTTTTTTTTTTTCGTTTTGTTATGTGACTTTTGAATGCCACTCTGGATGATTTCAAACTAGGTTTTTTATTTTTATTTTAGAGTAGGATTTCGTAACGACTACATCTATGGCAGCGTTGGAGTTCGTGACGTAGCAGATCAGTACAGCCACACAAGCTATATGCCCCCAGACTACCTCGGAAAAAGACGCCTCCACCTCTACGTACCAGGTCCAAGATCCCGCGGTACGCCCAAGAAACTCTTGCTGGATGTGGTAAAGGCGTATATGGAGGAGAATAACCTCACCCAGAAGGATGCCGAAGACCTGGCAAAGTGGAAGAGCTTAAGTTGGAAATCGGACCCTGGTATTAGATTGGAAAATTGCTAGGAAGAAGAAGAAAGACGAAGGATGCTATGTGGTATTTGTCTGAGAGAGATATTGAGATAAACTTTGATAAAAAAAAAGATTACTGAGCGAATACTTTTGGTTTAGGGCTGTTTTTTTTTTTATAATAGCAAATAATAGTTGTTTGTACGATAAAATACAAAAATAAACTTAAAAAATACAGTTGAATAAATAAAGCAATTCGTATATTTCATCTTCATACTGAGTCAGTTTAAATTTATAGTTATTGAACTGACACTTCGTCTTTTTTGCCACTCATATAATAACAGTCTATAATTACACACTAATAATGATTGTAATTAAAACGTAAAGTGAAGAAGTAAAAAAACTAAAAGAAACTACATTCATTTTAGTTCGAGTAACCGCTAAGAGATGGCGCAACGTGTATTGAAAACTAGAAAATGTAACTTCATCCCAAAAATAAGTCAAAAGTTTGTTAGGACTTGATATACCGTAAATATATCAGAATAAAGAGAACATCATACTTTAATTAATTTCTTTTGAAATCATCTTGTCAGATCAGATATCATCAAATATCGATATAGTTTGAAAAATTTTGAAATCTCGATTGTTCAAACAAAAGATTCCTTCTAGAGCTGAAAATTTTAATGCTTCGTGAAGATGCATGGTAAATACTTTAACCCGCCATTATATTATCACTAAAAAATTGTATTACCTCCTCTAATATTTTATTAACAAGTAAATTAAAATTTCCTCAAAATAAATATTGATCTGATAAAATAAGATGACATATTAATGTCAAATATTAAAATTAATTTTAATACTTGCAAAAAATTTAAATCCGCAAGACCGGATAGGCTTAAAGCTTCTCGCGTTTTTTGTAAAATTAGTTACGCCATTTAAATAAATTTATTCAATCATAATGATATTTTATCATCAATATTTCATTTTTATAGAGAGGCGTGAAAGTTTTTTTTTTTTAGAAATCACTAATCTAAATTTGCTTGTGATTTAACAAAAAAAAAATGAAAACACTTTAATAAAATGGAACTAATAATTATTTTTACGGTTCTTTAAAATCATTCACGATAATTCTTAGTGATTCCCGAATTCCGTGCTTACAATAATAACGTTATAAGTGAGAAAAGTAACATGTGTAATATCGTCGACAATTTGGTAAATTTTTAAATCGCGCCAAGAAAACTTCGAACCTCCCTATATAATTTAAAAACCGAAAAACTGTTTGTGTCATGTTATTATTCTGACATGTACCGCGCTATCATTCGACATTTTCTTTTCAATGCACAATGCTGTGTCATTAACTGTCGCCTCTGTTTCACGTCATTATGCCACCTGTCCACCGGCCTTTCCGTACAGCCAATTATGTTTTTGACAGCTGAATTCTCGACATGACATGGGCCTAATCAAAATAGCATTTATTTAAAAAAAAAAAAAAACTTGACATTAACAAAGCTGACAGCTCACGGTTTCGTTATTAATGAGTCTCAACACCGAAGCGTTGCGTGTACTTTTTCTTTTTACGCTTTTTCAATGTAATAAATTATTTTGTTAGTCGTTTTTTTTTCTGTATTGCGGGCGGTTAAAAACTAAATTCGTTTGATTACGATGTGATTTTATTACGTTCTAAACATTTTCTCGGCGTTGATTGACGTCTCTAATGTAAGTTAGGTTTATTAATTAATCAATCCGCAACGTTTATTACTGAACAGCTCTGAGAACTTTTGTTTGTTTCCATAATACACTTTCAAACTTTACTATTTGCTTTTTATATTTTTTGTATGCGATTTTAATGTGCGCCCTCTTGAAAAGCAACGTTACATAGAAAAGAAAACAAAAATATTTAATATTCGGTATGTAATATTATATTTCAAATAATTCATTTTAATTAAACATAGAGATTATTTACACACAAAAGAAAAAAAAACATTTGGCTGTATAATCCTTACGATTATCCAATACTCGCAAAGTATCAATCATCCTTAGAGAACACTTAGATAAATAACTATCATTAAATTGCACTAATCACTAAATTTGTCATGGTGCGTAACGCCGTCCACTGAGTTACTTTATTAATATCACAGAAGAAAATTGGACAATATAAGTATAGTTTAAAAGTTTGTTCGGTCCAAGTTATCACTTCACTTAGTTTACTGGTGAACGGCTGCCGCCCCAAGTCTCTGTCCATACATGGCGTAGGGAGAATAAAACGGTCCGAGCGCAGGGTTGAAGGCACCGTATGGTGAAGCACTGAGGCTGGCCGGGAGACCAGCTTTTGAGTAAGGATGGTATCTACTCGCAGAAAGTGGGCTGAGCGGCGCCGTCGGGTATGCGCTACGAAGACCGGCAGTCGTGAACAGTGGATTAAATTGATTTAAAATGGATGCTTGAGTCGATGCACTGGTCGATGGAGCGGATCCGTCGGCTGTGTGGCTTCTCAAGTGCTGTAACAATTCCTCGGAATTTCCAAACCGCTTGCCGCAGTAAGATTCGCCGACGATCCAGTTGCAAACGTAGGGTCGGCTCAGCTGGTGGTAGGGCAAACTACTAGCGGCGGCCCCTTGCTGTGACAGAGCCATTGCCATCGCTAAGTTGTACTTTTGATGTTCGCATTGTGTGCACCCGGCGGGGCAAGATCCATTGCTCATTAACAGATGGTGGTTGTTGACTGAGAACTGGCAGCCGGTGCAATATGGATCTTTGCAGACAGGGACCAGTGTCTCTCCCCCGGCAGGTGTTTTAACTCTCGCATATCCAAGGTATGGATTTGCTGAAGATCCGGGAAAAGCAGCTGCGGCGGCAAGCATAGCGGCATGATGAGCATTGAATGGTGCTCCGGCATACGGTGGTCTGAATGCCGGGTTTCCGTGCTGCTCCAATCCAGGCGGGCAACAAAGTCCAGAGAGCGGATTAAATCCCGGTAATCCGGGTATATTCTTGAAAGCGCCCAGATGATCCTTGCCGTGTCCCAAAACCTCTAATCCGGACCGGATTATAGGGCTTGTTCCAGATGAACTGGCTGAAGAAGATTTTGTTTCGTTTGAAGGACTGTTTTTTCCATTTTCACCACTGGGCGATGTTGATTTACGTCCCGGGGTGCTCTTTCCAGATTTCTTGTCTTCGGAACTGTCCGAACTAGCTTTGGAAGAGGGCCGAGTCTCATCCGGCTTTTTTGTTATAACGTTTGCCTCGTATGGCTTGAACGCCAAATGTTTGCTTTCCGGAGACGATCTTGGCTTGTCTTGTTTCATTGTATTACTGTTTGGTGACGAACGACTTATTATATCACTGTTATTAACACTGTTCACTTTTTTCTTGTCGTGTGGCGGGAGCAGCGGCTTTGAAGGTGTCGAGTCAACACCAATTTGGCTGCAGGTTTGCGCTAGAAGCGCAAGCGGGCTTTTTTTCGAGTCCAACTGTAACAAAACAAAAACACAAAATTAATTCATTTGTTTTCAAAAAACTTATTATTTATTACATAGTTTTTTTTTTAAATCATAATAAATTAGGTATTATTATAATATTATTATTTTTTACTTACAGTGGACGGAAGCGGTGCTAAATAATCTGGTTGTAAGTACTGGTTGGGATTTGTAGCCATCATTCCACCGTCTTCAAGCACCACCATTTGGAGATAACTTTTACTATCACTTTTGAACTTCACGATACAATCACGTAAGGGAGTTTAATTTAGTGTACACTTTGCAAACGGAGCGCAGACTGAGCAAGTAAGACACATGTACACGCGGCGACGTTCGAAGCGACTGTGAGCGACTGGACCCCACCAAAGCTCGACTCGCCTCCGTACCCCGCGCCCTCGTCGCGACAGATAGAGACAGCAATACGCCGAACCTCCGCCAGACAGAGAGCGCTATGTCTCACCGCTGCAGCGCGCGATCGTAAAAAATAAAGCGGAAACGACACATAGCTGCATTGCGGTAGGGGAAAAAGGAAAGGCGGTATGTTCAGCAGTCGGGTGCGGATTGAGACGTGCGATGGCGTTGGTGGCTCGCCACCCATGACGGGCAGCGCTTTGAGTCGCCGCTGCGAGCGTGACTGCCGCTCTACCTGGCCGAGAGTCGCGTACCACGCTGCTTTTTGTTACGTGGCACTTTTATTACGTCCCCGACGAGTCGCAGCGTCTCTCTTTGAGCTCCGTAGCACTTTGCTGACACGTTCGAAACTACTTACGTTTTTACGAGCTTTCTTTGTTCCGAGATGCACCCGGTGTCGGTTCAAAGGGGCCAAATTGATCCGTTCCCGGGAAAACGTGTTTCCGTGAAACCGTTTGATGTGTCAACAAGTCCGTTAGACGTTTACGTTGAAACTCGTTAAGCTATCGATAAACATTTGTTTGACGATATTTCACTTTATCGACAGCGTTAAGTCCATAACGTTAATGTTAATCCGACACTAAAACCTGTCAAACACGGGTTCGGTCCGTCGGACCCTCCGTAGCGATCAAATTAAATATGTCAATTTGGGAACCCATATCAACAGCTGCGAGCGACGGCGGCGGGGCCCTTTAGAAATATTGCTTATTGTGTCCAAACAAAGATACTAAGTATAACGTATGGGCGGACGACAGAGGTTGTAAATAACCCGGCGGGTTGTAATATATTTGACAGTGCGCGGACACACGAAACAAAAAACATGTTTATTGCGAGATGGGGTCTGGTTCGGCCCCGGCGGCGGCCCGGCTCTCTTCTATAAATTAGCTCCGCGAGCATTTTAGTGTTTGTTTAAGGCTACGGAGGCGCCGATGGCCCTCGCCCGTACTGAATAACGTGTTTCGTGCTATTGGAATATAAAACAAAGTGCAAACGTATTACGTTACGATTCGTCTCAAAATTACAAAAGCTTTAACTGAAACATGGATTTTAAAAACAAATCTCTTGTCTTGATAAATTCTGTTGATGCTCGCTGAGCCGTAATTGCAAACTCAATCGCGATAACACGGTTCATTAAATCGTATTGTATGTTTTCAAGGAGAATTTAACGCGTCGTCAATTTTAACAGACTTCTACACGATTTTCTAATTCTCTCATAGGGCCTAACTAATTTACAAATAAACTGTGGACCTTATTGTAGATTGTATCCGAAAATATTGAAGCTTTAATTCTGTCCTGCTGATTCATTTTTTGTTTGATAAATCGAGCATCACTCATGTTTTGTGCTGGCATAGATTCTTAGCAACTTAACCTACCTTAAGCAACTACAACTACTCTTGACCGCAAATAGAGAAGTAGTTATTTAAATCAGTATAGAACAAAATGAATCTTCACTAACTTACCACTTTTACAAATGAGATTTCGACCTCATTACTCAAGGTGGGTGGCGGCATTTAAGTTGAGTTTGTCAATGGGCTATGTTAACCACTTATTGGCAGGAGGGCCGTTAGCTCGTTCACCCAAAAATGCACAAAATTTGAAAAGATGCCTTTAAATTTGACTTCAGCAAGAGAAAAAGCCTTATTACGATATATCATGTTAATGGTGATCCTGGATCATAATGGACCTTTGATCGCCTGGCTTTTGTAGTCCGGGATCTATTCCCAGTAGTTGTGCCAGTCTCAATTTCATAAACCAGGACCTAACACTAGTTTGGACCCGTCGTAAGTTTAGCTTCCAAAAGGTATAAACCTTTTAAAATTTAGGAAGCGAAACCTATTTCTCTGTTCGCAGATAAGCCATGCAAGGACCCCTCAGGTTCGCTAAGATAACGCGTTATTGTTTGAAGCGGATGCGGCGAGATCAAAGCGCTCGCACAAAGCGTTGCCGCCGATACCAAATTACTGTTTACAAACGCTGTAAAAAGCTTGACGGGGCCCATGCCTTGCTTTGATCTGCTCTGTTACGGTTACGTTAATGACTCATCGATAGTTTGAAGGGTAGAATAGTTGGGCTTAGATAGACTTGGCGCCTTCGAAGGGATTCATAATTCGTATATTTTAGATTCAGTAAACGGATTTCCAGTCATAGCTTGTTGAAATATGACCACATATCGAATATATTTATTACTTCCAATGAGAAACAGTCAACTTTTTTTCTCCTACCTATGCTGATAGCCTTGAGAGGCTATTTCAGCTTCTCCTTGACGTGTAGGTGAGCTCACGGGGCTCAAACTGGAGTGTTGCTAACACTAGCCCTAGCAAGAGCAATGGTTCGCAGAATCTACCACCGGATCCGAATCGCGATCCACTGAGAAGATCCGACGAGAAACTCAGTAGGCTAACAGTCAGTGTTCGAGTTCAAATAGTACGACAGCCCTTATAAAATACAATTGGCATTGAATAAAAGGAATATGATTTAAATGTTTTAATACAATTGACATTGAATAAAAGGAATTTGATTTAAATGTATTTTTTTTAATAGACCAATTGAAGAAAATAATTTCAAATATGTTTTAAATATCTACTTTATTTATTATTTATTATTTATTAATTAATTGAAATAGTTATCCCTTTTTAAGGACGACATAATTAGTAGCATAAAGAAAGTTAAGCTATTACCTCAATAAAATTAACCTGCGACATTGTACTCACTCCTTTCATTTTTTCATCCATTTTTGTTAGTCATGATTATCTACGCTTTGAGTTAAAATTATAAAAGTATTTTGAGGGTATGAATAATATCATTACAAAAATGTTTTTTAAGGGATTTTATTACCTGATAACTTAGACCTTTATTTGGGTCATGCCTTATTTTAATTTATATTCTTATTTTACTAAAAAATGATAATTTAGAGTGAAATGAAATAAAATGAACTGAAATGAAATGAAGATGATTAAGTTGAAACATTAATCAATTGGGATGAAATTAAAGGAAATGAGATGATATGGGATGAAATATAATCTCAGTAAAATGGTGGTCATTTACTACGATTTTTTCAGTGAACTTTTTGGGAGGATCCCGAGAAGTTACGTCCAGCGGCTTTTTTCTCGTTTGCCCACATTTGTGCACTTTCACAGATATTAAACAGTTAATAAACCATGGTTATTACACATTTAAACCTGAAGAAACACTAAATAGACAAAATAAAACAAATCACACAACTTCACTCCTCGCGTTCCCGCCAAAAAGTCCTTACTAAAATATTTTTTTTTTTTAAGAGATTTTATGACCTGGTAACTAAGACCTTTAAGTTATGTCTTATTTTACTTTATATTCTTAATTTTATGAAAAATTATAATATGGAGTGAAATGAAATGAAGATGATTAATTTGAGACATTAATCAACTGGGATGAAATTTAATGAAATGAAATGATATGGGATGAAATATAATCGCAGTAAAATGGTGGTCATTTACTGAGATTTTTTCAGTGGACTTTTTGGAGGAACCCGAGAAGTTACGTCCAGCAGCTTTGTTTCATTTTACCACATTTGTGCACTTTCACAGATATTAAACAGTTAATAAACCACCATTATTACACATTTAAACCCGAAGAAACACTAAATAGACAAAATAAAACAAATCACACAACTTCACTCCTCGCGTTCCCGCCAAAAAGTCCTTACTAAAATTTGATTCTTACATAGATTATATAAAAAAAGAGGCTAAAGTATCAATTTGAATAAAGCCAATGATGACGTCGTTAAAGGTTAAACATGTTGTATTAAAAATATTGCTAATTCTTCCTTCTTTAAATTGCTATTGCTATAATATTGCTAATTCTAATGTATTTAATGAAGCTTCATTAAAATCGGTTTTGCTGTATTCCGTAAAATGTTTATTCAATCAAAGAACATAAAAAAGTCAGTGCTGATTGAGGCACTGACCTCATGTCTCAAGGTGATTGTTTTCACGTCGTGATGCGTATTGTGTCTCTGTACATTTACACATTACGTGGGCCTTGAGAGAATAAAGATGTTATTAAAAAACAATTGGACTATGTAGATTTGATTCTTTTCAATATTAAAGTGCTCTGCTTAATTCATTGCCAACTTGTATTATTACAAAAGGTTAATTGTTTAAATTGTGATTATTAATATATATTACATAATTTCGCGTAGTACATTTCATTAAGCCATATAATGTTCGTGTACTCGTCATTTTTTAAATTCAAAATGTCTAGACGGCCGCCTAAAGGTCAACCAAAACATTTGGTGTTTAAATATGATATATTTTTTTTTTTTTTATTTTTTTTTCCTACCTAAGCTGATAGCTCTAGGGGCTATTTCAGCGTAACCCTAACTTTAGTAGGTGAGCTCACGGGGCTCAAACCTGATGACGTTGCTAACACGAACCCTAGCAAGGGTCGTGCTTCGCAGAATCTACCACCGGATCGGAAACGCGACCCACTGAGAAGATCCGGCGAGAAACTCAGTGGGCTGTGTCTGAGAGTTAATTTACTCGTCGAGCCCTTCGTCGCAAGCGACGGGTTCGACGAGAACGGTGACCGGTGCTTGAAGTACCTAAAAGCACCGTTAGTGGATCGGGAGGATCCGAGATGCCGTGAAATATGATAAAGTGAACTTGTATTATATAAGTATATTTTTATGTTGAGATATTGCGTGGTTGGTGTGTTTGGTGTACAATAAAGAATACTCTCTCTCTTTTTCTCTCTCTCTCTTGTTAGTCGCTTAGCGTAGTATATTAAGCGGTAGGCAGCGGCTTGACTCTGCCCCTGGCATTGCTGAAGTCCATGGGCGACGGTAACCACTCACCATCAGGTGGGCCGTCTGCTAGTCTGCCTACAAGGGCAATAAAAAAAAATTGGTTTCGAACTGAACTCTTGTCTTTTTTAAAGTAATGCTGACAAAAATGTGTGCCACTTATGTTCTATCCACTGAGTGCTATGAGGATTTCATCAGAGATAATTTTGAATCCGCTTCTGGGTTGAGGAATGCACTCCACTTCTTTGTTGGCTCCAAGACCTTTTTTCCCCTGCCTATTATATTATGGTAGCCTAAGCGGCTATTTCAGCTACGGCCGGACGGGTAGGTGAGCTCACGGTCTCAACCTGAGCGAGTTTGCTAACACTAGCCCTAGCAAGAGTCGTGCTTCGCAGAATCTACCACCGGATCGGAAACGCGACC